CGCTCCAATCTCCGCCACCGCGGCTTCCCGTGGCCTTCTCCCCTGTGCCCGCTCCGCCTGCCTCTGCTCTCCTCCGGTGAGGATGCTGGCATCCAGGGCCCGCCCAGATAATCCAGGATAATTTCTTTGTCTCAGAATCCTTAACCACACTGTCCAAATAATGTAACATTTATAGGTTCCAGGAATTAAGACCTCGTATCTTAGGGGGGGCAAACATAATTCCCAGGACCACATCACTGAAGCAATTTATAGGAAAAAGATACGACTAATGCTTTTAAAAGATCTCTCAGAAGAAAAACACAAGGAATTATGTAAAATGATAGATGTATATATTAATTGTGGTAATCATTTCACAATGTATACATATATTCAATTATGGTGTACACTTTACACAATTCTGTCAAAAAATTTGCCGGTTGTTCCCATACAAATAAATAAATAATAAGTAAACTCGCTCTCTGCTGGCAGAGCAGGCTCTGGGGCAAAGCAGAAGCAACAGGCCCAGGGAGGAGGCTGCTGCGGTGACCAGACGAGAGACGGCTGGGCTGGAGAAGTAAAACCGCACACTGTACATCTGTAACCGCCATGACTGGCTCAGGAAGAGCTTGCACTGCAGTCAGAAAAAGCGGGAGTCAGACGCCCTGTGCAAACTAAGTGCACCACCTGCCAGCTTTGTGACTTTGGGCAACTCACTCAACTCAGCTGTTTCTTCCTCTGCCAAGGGGCCCTTAGGGAACTGCTACGAGCATTCGCAGAGACAAAAACGTGTAAGATGTTTGATCAAGTGCAGCACCTGACACGCAGTAAGACCTGAATAAATGTCAGCTACAGTTATTTTTGTCTGTTGCCGACATTGCACGTTTTTCTTACTTTTTTATTGTTGTTTAATCACAGTTGTCCCCATTTTCCACCATTCCTCTCCCCTCTCCTACCCACCCCTCATCTCCCATATTTTCTACTATATAGTTTTATACCATATATCTTAATTTGCAAAATAAGTTTTTAAAAAAGGGATTCAATAACTCAACAGGTACGAACGTTTTTTGCTCTCCGTTACAAAGGAGTCACCAATATTATATGGTGTAATTATATCATTACCACTTTAAATTTTATAAAAGACCACAATACTTCAAGAAATTTATCTTGACAATCAAATTCTTTCACTTTACATAACTAAAAGTTCAAATCAAACATTGAAATCTAACATCTAAGACTTCAATTTAATATAGTGTGGAAAAGAATTCAAACTTAATAAAGACAACAGAAAAAATGTGTCATAGATAACCTAGGATTAAAATCATATAACATGGATATATTATAACAACTATATTTAAAAGTGTCTCCATACCTAGGAAATTTAGAATAAAGTTCAAAATATTTCCTTTCTGGATTCTTCTTTAAATTTAACCTTGAGACATGTGACCTAATTACATTATCATCCACTGCCCCCTTCAGATAAAAGTCAGAAAGTAAACCTATAGAAATTGCATGGCTTAGCTCAGTTCTAATCCTGACTCGGTTTCTGCCAGTTCATTTTTAACCTTAAATTCCTTCATCTCTAAAACAGTGAAAATTGTGCCTTATTTATTTATTTATTTTAATCCTCACCCAAGAACATGTTTACTGATTTGAGAGAGAGAGGAAGGGAGAGAGAAAGAGAAGGAAAGATCTATCAGTTCTCTCCCGTACACGCCCCGAACAGGGATCAAACCCAAACCTAGCCATGTGCCCTGACCAGGAATCAAACCTACAACCATTTGGTGTATGGGATGATGCTCCAACCAACTGAGTCACCTAGCCAGGCAACATAGTAACCTATTTTAAAAACCATTTTTCTCTTAACACCTTATTGTAAGCATGAAACACAAATGCAATAAAACAAAAAAGTAAAATATCATTGGTGAAATTTCATCTGGTGTTCTTTAAGGTAAAGGGTGAGTTCTAAAAGCTGCTTATACTACTGTTATAGACATGATAAGAATCTTGGGAATGATTAGCTTCTTACATAAAATGCTTATTGTTCCTATCATTCACAGAATGATCAGTATTGGTAAGTACTCGAACTATTCTTCTCCACGGGTTTAACAAACCAGTAACAAAATACTCAGAATCAGCAGAACCGTACAGATGCTCCGAGCCTGGGCTCTGGAAGTCAGCGCTCACTTCCCACATCCCATCCACTGGGAAGTTTTGTTCATGCCACCTCGATAAATGCATCCCAGATGAATCCCGCTGCTCTCGCTGTCTCAAATTAGCTGCCCTAATCCAAGCCACCTTCAGACATCACAAAGACCAGTGCTGCGGTTTCCTAGTTCTCCCACTCCAATCCACTCGGCACACAATTATCAAAAACGAACGCAAACGGGAAGGAAAGGTCACGGCTCCGCTTAAGCCTTCAGAGGTTTCCCACCACCCTAGAAAAGGGCAGCTCTTGCTTGCTCTGTCACCGACCATCGCTCTAACGTCTTTGAAAGCCACGCCCTCCCCAGATGCACGGGCTCCAACCAAACAGGCGTCTTTCAATTCTACAAAGCTCTTTCAATTTAGGGCCGCTCTGCTGCTCTCTCCGCCTCCACGCTCACTCCTGACCCTTCAAATGTCTGCTTCCTCCTCGCCTGTCAGTTTCTAGCTCCACAAAAAGGCTTCCCTTGCCCTTCCAGTGTTCCCCCTGTCACTTATCCTGATCTTTACACTCACTCACTTGTTTTCTGTCTATTTCCCCTCCGGACTGTCACGTCCTTGAGCACAAGTTCTCTATTTTGATCGCTCTATTTTCTCGGCGCCCAGAGCAGTGCTCGGAACTGGGAGGTATTCAGCAAACATTTACATATAGATGAAAATGCCGTTATTACTAAATGCTCACTTGTACTACAAGATTTTGTTTTTATAAAATTAACTAAGAAATTATGACTGTGGCAAAAGTGAATACAGTGGCTATGTGTGACTTTTGTCATCGTATTTATCTTTGAAAATAACCACTCACAGAAGGAAGGCAGAATTGGAGAAGGTGCTGACTGTAAGTACAAAGACATCTTAACAATGTATGAACACAATGATTTAAAAATGATTTGCACATAATACAGGTTTTATAATTTGACACGGGGTTGTTTACATGTATAGCTGCCTACATTATATAGCGAACCCTCTACAAAAAATCATCATTATTGCCTCCACAAAGTCTCACCGAGTTGCTTAATCCTTCGGCATGTTTACATAAAGTCAGAATCACAAGACTCCTATGTCTGTTCTTCAATTGTTTCCTGTAGGTTTTAGGCCTGCCTGGCATGGAATCGAATCTGGGACTCAGTTTCATCTTTTTCGTATGCTTGATGATTAACTCAAGAAATGAATGAAATCATTTCATCTAATAAAGGTTTTTCTTAGTACATATTCATTAGTACACATTTTCTTTATAGTATTGTAACTCTTCATTCCATTAATTTTCTATATTATGGATTAATTTTTATTACTTAAAGGTTATTAAAATCATCTTTATAACTCAGTTATAAAGCACATACAGTATTTTACTGTATATTATTGCTTACACATTCTCATGAAATTAGGATTTGGGGGGGCATTATTATTTAATAAACTTTATTGAAACCTCATTAGCAAAAGAATTTTTCAAAATAATTTTGAGACCTAAAGGTCATTGTCTCTATCCTTCATCTTTTATTTTTACTTTATAAAACTTTGGACATTCAGTATGCTATCTGTGGACCAGACTTAGTCTGCTCAGCACATGTGTGTATAGCACACGCAGTACTTTTAGCTTTAAATCTAATTCCCTGGCACAGAATAACTCTTAATCAAGATGACCTAACTACTTGTTGCCTTCTAATGCTAACTGGCACTTGGAGGTGCTAATGCTGACAAGCTAGGTCAGCTAACATCACTGAAGTTGAATGTAAAATTAAAAATCTAGACTGTATATACCTAATTCCATTTAAATTACAGCATGAATCTGGGACAATAGATGTGAAAAAGTTTGATTCACTTTTGAATCACACACAATGCTAAAATAAACACCTCAATTCACCATTGCAACTAGCAAAAAAAAAGAAGAAGAAAACCCACATATTGCCTGCATAGACGTGGCTGTCTTGTAAAAACAACATAATACTACATCACAGTAACTGAAACCATGCTATAGGTGCCTAAAAATAAAACTCAAGGACACACTAATAATTACAGCATCTTAAACACATACTAATCTAAAAGTTATGAAAAAGTTATAACCAAACAGAAAGCCAAAGAAAAGTACACAAAACTTTTAGCAAACATAATCCCCATTAGTAGGCAAGTTCCCTAAGGACACGGACTGATGTCTGTTTTGTTCATTCAAGTTCTTAAAAACACTGCTTTGCACACAGGTACAAATAAATAATAAATACTATGTATTCAATATTTAACATTATATATTAATAATCAAATACTAAATAGAGGAAAGAATGTTCTAGAAGATCAAATATTTTTGCTTATGGCAAGAAAACTAATTCTGAAGAACCTAGGAAGTAATAAAATAAATATGAAACTAAAATTGTGATCGCTACAATTCAAACTTTAGTTGATGATTCTTTAGACATCACACCACAGGGCGATTATTAGGCATGTAAGTAAAATTGAATATTATCAATGTTGTAGAATACTATTCATATAAATTTAAGTCAACAGAACACCAAATAAGATAGCTAGCTATGGTTTTGTAAGACTATTTAAGAGTCTTTTGAGCTACTGAAAAGCTAACTTTATTAAAAACTCTCTGCTCAGAAAATGACTAAAGAAATCTTTACAATTTGAGGTCTGGATTTCTCCATTTCCATCAGCCAATGTCTTTAAACATTTTCATCACAGTTTAAAGTGTGAACCAAAATCCTTCCTCCTCTCAGTGAGCAAGTACAAAAGATCAGCCATCAAAAGCTCGGAAGTTTTCTCCTGATGATAACATGCTACTGGAGGAAAGAAAAGGTAAATTCAAATCTTATTTTGCACCAACTTACTCTAACTTTTGGCAAGACTCTCCGAAGTGTTTCAGCAGGATTCTGTCGCATCAAAAATGGAAGATTTGCAATCACACTTGTTCCCTGGATATCTTGACCAGCACTTACAAAGAAAAGACAAATTTGAAATGTGTAATTATAAGCTGAATTCCTGGTTTATGACTATAAAAGTAGAGATTCATTTGAAAACAACTGCTTTTAATGACAAACACTCAAACTCTGAAAAAGTGGTAAACTTTAAAGATATCATTTAGATATAAAAATAAAGCCAGAACTGAAATTTCATTAGGCAAATCTTACAAGTGCATGAAGATATTAATTATGCTAATTACTAAAAACAAGATTATCTACATACATGTCTTAAGTCTAAAAGTCTTTAAGATTATTAAATACTTACTTTAACATTCTACCTCATTTTTTCCTGGGACCTGTTAATTTGCTGTATTTTATAAAAATATACACGGCAAATTTTCATTCCAGTAAACTATTAATAATCATAACAATGGCAGGGACAGCGACAAAATCCACTGTAACAGAATCACACAACCACTTGCTTCTGGTATGATGAAGTGACCTGCGGCTCTAAACAGGCTCAGTGAGTTGCCAAAAACTTCTTCAAGCAATACTCAATATTCTTAAAGGTCAGTAGGGCACATTTAAATAGTGCTTCTTGACATACTATTCATTAGGTCACTAAAGCTTTACCAGAATAACCTCAGTGATACTCTAGTGGTCTAAATACCTTAGAAAAGGTGTTCAGATTCTTCTGGAAAAAACTGTTCTATACAAAAGTTCTTTGTTTTTAATACACAAGCTAAGTGACATAAGAAGTCCAAGCACTTGAGATATATATATATATATATAAAAGATGCTAGTGAATGTAGCATTGGTATTTGGACACCAATTTAAATGCTAATCACTGATGCCATGTTTATTTATCTTAATTAAAATAATGTTTAGTTAGCTCTTCAAATGGAACTATTGTTATTATATATGTAAGACTTTAATATGGTTTTTAAAGATTTTTTTAACATTACATTTATTTGCTTCAGCTTTCTAAGTTCCGGTAGGAAGAAGCATGTTCCAACCCTCAGCAGAGCTGCCCTGCTATGGAGAAAGGTGCTTCCCCTGTTGCAGTAAGCAGGCTGTGAACTCCAGGCCAGAACAACATCCCACCAGTATCACCGCTCTCTCAGCAAATACTTTAAAAGGCGAATCAAGAAAGAAAGGAACTGAAATAATGGACACATGCCAAGATGGGGAGGAGATCAAGAAAAGGGAATTAAAGTTGCACATAAAATTACTACTTCTAGTAGGTCGAATGGTGCCCCTGCTACCCCATAAAATACGTCTATGCCCTAAGCCTAGAACCTGTGGTGTTATCTTAATTTGAAAAAGGACCTTGCGATGCACAGATCACTGTGGATTACCCAAGTAGGCTGTAAGCCCAGGAAGAAGTGTCCTTAGAAGAGACTCAGAGGAGCAGGCAGACGGAAGGGAAGGCACTCTCACCGCAGAGCGGAGACTGGGGTGACGCCGCCACCGGCCGAGACTGCTGACCGCGGCAGTAGCGGGAAGAGGCCAGGAAAAGGTGCTCCCTGAGAGCCCTGCTGACAACCCGGCTCTCACTCAGTGACACAAGCTCAGAGTTCTGCCCTCCAGAACTGTGCGAGAATAAATTTCTGTTGTTTTAAGCCATGCGGTTTATGGTAATGTGCTCTAGCGGCCACAGGGAACAAATACACTAGCAGAGAACTGAAAGAGAACAGCAGTGTCTGCAAAACTAATGCTCATATGACAACTTCGGGGCCAGAGCAGAGGTTCAGTAAATGTATCTGGAAAGGATGAACGATTGGATGGCTCACTGGGTGAATTTGTTACCTTGATATTCAACTGATTATTAATGGGAAACAGGAGCAAAGGAATTTAGACATTGAGTTTAATAAATGGGGAAGCATAAGCCCGTTTGCTTCACCAGGAAGCTACGGTTTTTCGCACTCCAGGGGACCACAGCATTGCTCCACCAAGGGGAGTAACGCGCCTGCGCTCCCTCCTCCAGAGCCAGACCGCTGGGGGACACGGGTGGTGCTGGACCACAGAGGTCTGTCCGTCTAACTAGGGGGTGTAAACCCATCCAAAGCCCGTGAAAGCTTAGGAAGTTGATTGGTTCTTTTGAAAAAGCACCCAAGCCCTGACCAGTGTGGCTCTCGGTTGGGCACTGTTCCTCAAAGCATAAGGTCACAGGTTCAATTCCTGGTTGGGGCACATGCCTGGGTGACATGCTTTCTTCCCAGTTGGGGCACATGTGAGAGGCAACTGGTCAGTGTTTCTCTTCCTCTCTTTCTCCCTCCATTTCCCTCTCCCTAAAAAAATAAATACATGGGATCGTTCTTTAAAAAACGCCAACTATACTTAAAAAAAGAAAAAAGAAATAGCAACTGGCCCATCCCAAGCCCAAGCTGATTGTATCCCAAGGGAACAAAGGAGAGCTCGCTCTCTCTCTCTCTTCTCCGCCCCCCCCCCCCGATGATGCACTCCCCAGGTCATTCATGCACTCTCTTGCCTGGGAACACATGACCGTGAGGGTCTAGCAGCTACCCTGCCTGCAGCAGATGGTGCCAGCTCCAAAAGGACTAAGCTCTCTCTCGTGCTCAGGACCCGCACCTGCACGGTGCATGTGCCTGTTCTCTTCATGACCATGTGGCCCTAGCAATCGCAGAGCCCATGGCCATGGGATTCCACATACAGGCTAGAGGAGCCTGCATACCGCAGTAGAGCAGTGGATGGAAACACATGCTAAGCGAGCCAGATGCCGGACTGGGCTGGACTTTAATATGGTACAGAACCTCTGGACACTGGCTTTTGTCTTGGCCTTGGTGAGGACACAGTTGGACTTTTTCCACGGCCAGATGGACAGAGATAGGGCATTGGGAAGTCAGGAGGGAAACCCTCTTAATATCAATACCCTCTTACAGTATCAATAAACCATCCGTCGGAGCCCCACCCTCCCGTGTGGGTCTCAGGACATTCTCTTCTTCAAGGCATGGCAAGAACTCGTTTTCCACTGATAACAAATTGAAGTCAGTAAAATTTAGCACTGAACATTCAGTGAATTTTATTCACTAACTTTGCAGTTAAAAAAATATACAAGAAGAGGGAACCCAGAAATCGGCCTCCACAAATATACCCGACTGATATTTGACAGTCGGGAAGGCAATTCAAGGAAGGAAAGACAGCCTTTTCAGCAAACGATGCTGGAGCAACTGGACACCCAGAGGCAAAAAAAAGAACAAATAAAACACCTTGACCTAAGCCTCATTACTTCAAAATGAATCACAGCCTTATGTTTTACTGAAATGTAATCTATAAAACTTTTAGAAAAAAACATAGGAGAAAATCTTTTAGATTTTAGGGCTAGGCAAGGAGTTCTTGACACCAGAAGCATAAAGAAAAGAAAAAAACTGATAAATTGGACTTCATCGAAATTAAAAACTTCTGCATTGTGAAAAGCCTGGTAAGAGGATGAAAAAGAAGCCATGGATCAGGAAAAAATGTTTGCAAACCACATGTTTGACGAAGGACTAGTATTTAGAATATTTTTTCCAAACCCAATAGCAAAAAAGCATGCAATCCAGTTAGAAAATGGGCAAAAGATATTTCACCTTAGGCGATCACCATTGCAAATAAGCACATGAAAAGATGTCCAACATCGTTAACCATTAGGTACACGTCAGGTAAAGTCACAATGGAATATCACTACACGCTTATCAGAATGGTTGAGATAAAAAACAATGGTACCACCAAATGCAAAGAGACTGGAGCACTCATTCATCACTGGTGGAAATGGAGGCAGGGACAGACACTCTAGAAAACAATTTGGCAGCCTGTTAAAACTCAACGTGCAACACATACAACCAAGAAATTGCACTCTTGGGCATTTATCCTGAAGACATTAAAGCATATATTCATGCAAAAACCAATGGATAAATGTTCATAGCAGATTTATTTGATCCAAAAAAAATTATAAACCACCTATATATCTTAAATGGGCAAACGGTTAAACACACTGTGGTACGTCCACGCCACGGAATGCTACTCGGCCGTGAAGAGGAGCAGAGTATCGACAGATGCAGTGACCTGATGGATCTCCACAGAAGTACACGGAGTGAAAAAGCCGAGCCCAAAAGGTTACATATGTATGATTCCACTTACACGGTGTGGGGCAAAGTAGGTTTACAGTTGTTCATATAGAAAATAATACAGTGATTAATAAACAACAACACAAAATAAACTCTGTGTCTCGTGTACTCACAACTGCAAACCTGCTTTTGCCCACCCTGTATAACGTTCTTGAAATGTCAAAATTATACAAATGGGGAAGAGAATGATTTCCAGGGGTTAAGATGGATGGATGTCGGTGGGGGAGAAGGGGAATAGATGTGACTATAATGATGTAACCTGGGTAGTGATTAACTACCTTGACTGTCTTGATTGTATCAATGTCAGTAAACTGGTTGTGATATTGTACTACAGTTTTTTTAAAAATTTACTATAATAGGAAACTGGGTAAAGAGAACATGGGTGTCTACATGGGGGGGATGCAGAAAAACCGGAATTATCTTCTGGAGGGCGGGTCCATTATAGTATGGGCTTCTCCCGCTAGGTGAGTGTTCTAGGAGCCCATCTTTATCAGTGTACTAGCTGGTGTTGTTGTGAGAGGCTGCGTTTGGATTCACCGGGTTTTTTTAAAGACTTGAATTTCAATTCATTTGCCCATTTCCTTTTTTTTTTAAAGATTTTATTTATTTATTTTTAGAGAGGGAAGGGAGGGAGATAGAGAGAGAGAGAAACATCAATGTGCGGTTGCTGGGGGCTGTGGCCTGCAACCCATGCATGTACCCTGGCTGGGAATTGAATCTGCGACACTTTGGTTCGCAGCCCGTGCTCAATCCACTGAGCTATGCCAGCCAGGCTTCATTTGCCCATTTCATGACGGGTGATTTACAAGCGCACCTGCCCACACTGCATGCATGCTTTTGACCAAAAACAGCATGACCCCTGTGCCCCACCTGTTCTCACCCCGAGTGATGTTTTTTTGTTTTC